CATCCGTCTGTCTATCTACCCATCCACCTATCCATTCATCCACCCAGCCACCCACGCACCTGTCCCTGTCTGTCTCTATGGTCTGTCTACCTATTACGTATGTATCTGTTTATCCATTTATCCTTATCTATCATCTGTTTAAGCTGTCATTTATATATTTATATATCCATCTCGCTCTCCATCTCTCTATCTCTGTGATCTTTTTATCTAGCTAGCTACCTGTCATCTGTGTATATACCTATCCTCTGTCATTCATGTATCTGTCCATCTGCTTCCTATTCTTCTAGCTTTCTATTTGCCTATCCATCTACTTAGCATCTGTCTTTCTGTGTAACTGTTTACCTACCTACCTACCCATCTGTCAGTCATCTATCTGCCTTTTCATCTATCTGCTTTTCTGTATATCTATCTACCTATTTGTCAATTATCTGCCTACCTACCTACCGTTCTATCTAGCTATCAGTCATCTACCTACGTATCTACCTGTTGGTCTTTTGATTTTTCCATTACTCTTTGCTGAGACATGCCTACAAATCACATAGAACCAAACTTCTTAATATGCGCCCTCGCCTGTGATGTCCTAGGCAAACCCAAAAGGTTAAAAACAACTGAGGCATATTGATCGGTGTCCACCCAAGGAAAAGCACCACATTTTCCTTCGGTGATAACACTGACCACACGAGGGCAGCATTGCCTGAGGATCTTTGTATCCTGGAGTCTAATACTTTTAAATAGAGTGAGGTTCATGTACACCAAATTTTATTGATTATAGGATGGAGAATACAATATACTATTAGAACATAATATTGTTAAAATATAACATAGAATTATTAGAATATAATTAAAACAGTATTAGTCTCAGGCATGCTGAAGTTAAAAATACATAAAAATAAATTTTAAAAGAATAGAATATTACACTCAAAATGACTGTATTACAATTATTATATAAAGTTACCAGAATTGTTAGTAGGCTGTAATATATTGGAATATTTGATATATTAGAATATAATAGAATAGAAAACCTAATTATAACGTAATATGTCATTAGGCTAATTGAAAATGAATAATTAGGCCAGGCACGGTGGCTCACACATGTAATCCCAACACTTTGGGAGACCAAGGCAGGCGGATCACCTGAGGTCAGGAGTTCAAAACCAGCCTGGCCAACATGTTGAAACCCCATCTCTACTAAAAGTACAAAAAAAATTAGCTGGACATGGTGGTGCGCGCCTGTAATCCCAGCTACTTGAGAGGCTAAGGCACGAGAATTGCTTGAACCCAGGAGGCAGAGGTTGCAGTGAGCCAAGATTGTACCACTGCACTCCAGCCTGGGCAAGGGAGTGAGACTCCATCTCAAAAAAAAAAAAAAAAAAAAAAAAAAAAAAAAGCTAATAAATAATTAAATGAATAACTGTCTCCTAATTAAAGCCCAGTCTGCTGATCTGTGCATTTTATGAGGCAGGGAGCTATTGATTCACAGCCTATTTTTATTTTCCTTTTCTCTAATTGGAGTCTTTCTGGGTGAATGTTGTTTTTTCAGTTTCTCAGCAGCCCTGTCTCTTTTCCCATAGCTGTGTTTTGGGAGTGGCCCGCCTCGCCAGCCCAGCTCTCCGCGGGCGTTTCCATGCTCTTCCCCAGCCCCGCTGGCCTGAGCTCCCGCCTGCTCCGCCCCAAGCCTTCTCACTGTCTCCTGCACCCACTCCTGCCTACAGTACATTTCCTTGGAAGCAGCTGCAGGCATCTTGCCCATGTCCCCACCAGCTGTGTCTCTCTTCCCTGGGGGCCCACTTCTTGCTTCCCGGGTGACTGGAGCGGAATCGGAGGCTCCTTTGCACATGAGGTTCTGAGACTGTCTGTCTGTGGGTGGTCAACCCTCCTTACACAGCAGCTTGGCCCCTCCTTTCTTCACACTGCTTTTTGAACATGCCAGGAAGCCTGACCTGTCCCCTGCCCAAAGGCGCCCCCAGGGCTGGCCCTTTTTTTTTTTTTTAAGACAGGGTCTCACTCTGTCGCTGAGGCTGGAATGCAATCTTGGCTCACTGCAACCTCTGCTTCCCAGGTTCAAGCAATTCTCCTGCCTCAGCCTC